GTAATAAAACTATGGGTGCTACATGAGATTTGTAAGTGTTTCCCCAGACTTCCATACAGTACATCATGTGAGGAGGTACTAATGATTGGTATAAAAGTAACAGGGATTTCCCTTTTAGAATGTGTTTCGATTTATTTAGGACTGCAATAATTTTAGACATCGTAGTTTTTACATTTTCTATGTGCGGCTTCCAACTCAGCATTTGGTGTATTGTGACACCCAAGAATTTAATTTTATTAACTCTTATTATATTTTCCCCATTTATTATTAATTTAGGAAGATTCTTTAGTTTTTGTTTTCCAAATGTAATGTATTTAGTTTTGCTTAGATTTAATGATAATTTGTTACTATCAAACCAGGTCTTTAGGATTTCTAGTTCACTTCCAACTATATTCAGTAGTTGCTCTATGTCTTTCCCTGTTATATACATATTGGTATCGTCTGCAAAGAGAATATAGTTCAATTGATTAGTTACTTTATTGATGTCATTTATGTAAAGTGTGAATGACTTTGGTCCTAACACTGAACCTTGAGGTACCCCACAGGACACTTGTTTTGTAGATGATTTTACATTTCCAATTTCAGTGAATTGTTGTCTTCCTGTTTGGTAGCTATTTAACCAGTTACCGTATATGCTATTCCTCGTATGCTATATTTATCTAATTTGGTTAGCAGGATATTGTGATCAGGGGCGTAGCACCAAATTCTGGGCCCTAGGTACAAGTCTTCTAGGTGGGCCCCCATGCTCAATTACTTAATATCTCTCTGACACATTTTTTGTCATGCTATAAGACAAGATAATAAATATGATCTTAGTTTAACCTCTATATTGAGCAAATACAAATGCCAGCATAATAAAAGTGAAATGCCAAGACTTCACATATAATTATTTTTATTTGCCAACAATGTGTTCAAACAAAAATCCTGGAATTTATTTTCCTGTAAATGCCCACTGACAGGTCTTCATGTTAGCAAAATCACTTATGAGATCTTTAAAGTCCAATCCTTTGGCTAATTGGCTTTCAATAGAAAGAAGAACTAGGCTGTTCAGTCTATCCTGGGACATTGTTGATCTCAAATAATTTTTCACCAGTTTCAGTTTGCTAAAAGCCCGTTCACCCCAGCAACAGTCACAGGCAGTGTGCAAAAAATCCTCAGTCCAATACAAACTTCTCCAAAAATGCTCTGTAATTGCATCCTGTATGGCATTAAGCAGCTCAAGAGGAGACCGAATGTGTGGAAATGTGGCACCATATATTGTTCTCAGGTGTAGCATCTCATTCTCAAATTCAGCTGTGAGATCCTTGTAATATTTTCTCATCAGTGCCTGGCATGATGTCTTCATCTGCTCTTCAGTCATGTCTGTCATGGTTCATGATGTTAAGCTTTGCTAATACTTATATGTATTGATATATTAAATACATATGACATGAAATAAACCAGGTTCTCTCTGTGAATGTAATGCACTCTAAATTTTATAATCCCTGCATTATCAGCCAAATTATAAGATTGTCCGTTTTCAAGATCAAATATAAAGAAATTTAAAATAGGCTTAAAATATCTAACCAAGTCAATAACAATCCTCTAACACCAGTGTCGTCATGCTATACGAAAAACAGTGGCAGCTTCTCATTCCTGAGATTACCACGAATCCATCGATACCAAGTTTGTCCTGGTCCATGACTGGGAAGGAGCTGAAATATCCACACAGAGTGAACCTGTTTTTACTGCGAGGTCCGCGAATTAATTGGCGGCGGCCGCCCGCGATAATAATTCTGATTTTAATATATATATATATATATATATATATATATATATATATACATATATATATTAGGGATGAGCGAGTACACCACTATCTGTATCTGTACTCGGAATGGGCGTGGCATAACCCGGAAGTGGGCGTGGTTTAACCGGAAGTGGACATGGTTTACATCAATGTATTATTTTAAGTCTGAAATTTATATGGATTGATCAGAAGTTGCTATGTGTATTGTTTATTTGAAAACTATTTACAGAGCAGCCTCAGAAGTGAGATTAAATATTTTTGATCACAATAGTAAAGAAACTATTACAGAAAAAGTGTTTCAATAAAATCAGAACATTAATATTTGAGTGCATGGATTAATACATCTGAACCCATGCAGTAGGAACTAGGAAATATGAAATGCTAGAACCAGACACAACTTTATATATATTTTTTTATTTTAATTTGATTAAACTGATTTTTTTTCTTAACGTTCTTGGCATTTTCCCACACAAAGTTTAACAAAGAAATGTTGATTAATGTGTGTGTGTGAGTGTGTGAGAGAGAGAGAGAGAGAGAGAGAGAGAGAGAGAGAGAGAGAGAGAGAGAGAGAGAGAGAGAGAGAGAGAGAGAAAAAAAAATTAAAAACCCCACCGGAGCGGAGGTAGTGACAACAGCACGTCAGCTCTGTCTTGTCAAATGCACCATGTCAGTTACGAAAAAAGTAACTTTAAATATTCAACCGAAAACGAGGCGAGCTGAAGAAAACCTAGGGAAAACTGAAGAAACGTGAGCAACAGTGAAGCCATCACAGCGCGATCCGTTACTGTCTGTGTGTGTGCGTGGATGAGCCGGCCGGACTGAGCTCCCGGTCGGCTAGAGAGTTTTGTAAGTAGGGAGGGGCGGGCGCTCTATGTGACTGGCCAATCACAGAGCGTGAAGACAGTCAGTTACCCAATGAAGATTTTCCTTCAGCACGATTACAGAGAATGACTCGTTTTACTAGTTTCATGCTCGTATTCATCAAAAATGCGTTATCCGTACCGGATACTCGTCTGAAATGAGTATCCGGCTTATCCCTAAAATTAGTGTTTTCACTGATAACACTAATTAATTTATATTTGATCTTGATGGTGAAACTAAAGGTGTTTAACACTGAACACCTAACATGAATGCAGCTTCTGAGAGCTAGCTAATATCAGCTAAAACTGTGTTCTGCTGCTGCTGCTCACCTTCCTTCTACTTGCTTCTGTTCAATTAACTTTTCCTCCTTCTCCTTCTTTTCTTTTCTTTTCTTTTCTGGAAGCCAGATTTCCCTTTCTTGGGAAAAGACATGACTGACTCTCCTGCCTCCAGCTCTGGCTGTCGGCATCTGCGATGTCTCATTAGCACATGCAGCCGGGCAGCCCCTGGCCGCTGGTGTGGACTAAACCACTTTGCACATTTTTAAGGGGTGATAGATGCCTCAGAGATTGTTCAGTTATTATTTTTAAGGCGAAATTCTGTTTCTTAACCTCTTTATCCAGGTAAAGGGAAATTTATTAAGACATTAAGTAAGTTGGGGGAAAAAAACAACAACAATAAAACATTTTTATTCAAAGCTGTCTCAGGGCCCCTCCCTGCAGTGGGCCCTGGGTAAACGGTACCCTTTCCCCCCCCAGTCCGACGCCCCTGATTGTGATCTATTGTGGCAAAGGCTTTCTTAAGATCTAAATAAATTCCCATTGTATTGCTTTTATTATCCATTGCTTTAGATAGTGCCTCTACCATACTAATTGTTGCCATTGCCGTTGTTCTTTTTGTTCTGAATCCATACTGATGCTCACTTAGTAAATTATTTTTTTCAAGACAATCATCCAGTCTGCTTATAAATATTTTCTCCGTTATTTTGGAGAACTGAGATAACAGAGAGATTGGCCAGTAGTTGGATGACTGTTTTTTATCACCTGATTTAAATATTGGTAAAACTTTCGCAGTTTTCATTTTACTGGGGAAAATGCCAGTTTTAAATGATTGATTACAAATGTATGCAAACGGTTTAGCAATACATTCTATTATGCTTTTTATTAACGACATTTCAAAACCCTCAGAGTCTTTTGATCTGTTCTTTACTTTTTTTTTTTTACATTGGAAATGTATTCTTGTTCATCAGTGTTCTTAATATACATGGTATTTACGTTAGCAGTGATGTGTCTAGTAACATCCATTTCAACTTTTGGTTTTTCTATCATCTTAGCTAGATTGGTCCCAATATTTACAAGATAATCATTTAGTACATTTGCAATTTCTCCCTGTTCATTTATAGGAATTCCATTTTCCATGGTCAGAGCCTCAATTGGGCTTTTTTGCCATAATTATTATTAATAATGTTTTTAAATATTTTCCATGTTCCTTGGGTATTGTTTTTGTTCCACTGTAGTAATTTGTCATAGTATTCCTTTTACTAATTCTGATTAAAGTTGTTAGTTTGTTTTTATATGACTTGTATCTGTTTTCAGCCTGTTTTGTTCTTGTTTTTATGAATAGTTTGTATAGTGTATTCTTCTTTTTACAGGCATTTTGTAGCCCCTTTGTTATCCATGGCTTATTATTTAGCAGTTGTTTTTGTTTTCTCCTTGGACAGTTTTTATTACATAAATCAAGTATTTTTGTTAAAAAGGTTTCAAATGCTTTACTTGGATCATGCTGTTTATATAGAATAAAAAAAGAGAACTAAATAATTAAATGTTTTCTTCATTTATTTGCATATTGATTTATTCATTTCAACATTTATGAATTTATTTTAATATTTGTTGTCATTTAGTTTTATTAAAATTAAATTTGTATTTTTTTTTTTTTTTTTTTACGCAGGGAGAGTCATCCATACTTGAAAAAGCCTGTGTAAATACATTTTCTCATGTTTTCTTTTCTTCTTTTTGGGGGATGGTGTAGGGGTGGGGTGCAAAATGCACCTGTTAGAGACGTAGATCAGTATAGAAGTTCATTCCTGCCACTCTGATAAAAAATAATTGTGAGATGTATAATTATGAGATAGCTAATTAAAAAACAAATAGTATTTGTTTTTAAATCCGAGTGGCGAGAATCGGCTTCCACGGATCAAACTGAGAATCAAAGCACATGCATACACAGGCTGGATAGAGGTTTACACTCATCCATTTTCACCCTTTTGTGACATTATCCAATGCTTTTGCCATTTCACTTCTCTTTCTTTTCCCTATTTTTCCACTAATTTTCTTTTTACTCTCATTTTTAGCCTCATGGAACCAGTGGAGACCCAGGCAGAATATGTTCAGGTCAGTCTGCTTCTTCTCTCTAAAGTTGAACTTTTATTTGTGCCATTTAAAGTGTAAAGATTGTGAATAATTAACATTTTACATGAAAACTGTGTATAGATTAGCCGCTACCAGGTAGAAGAGCTAACGGCTAGCAGCGGAGCTAAGAAGATTTCTCTATTACTTAAAACACCACTAACCTTAATGTTTTTCCTGTTTAGATCACTTCTGTATTGTCAGTCTTTACTCCTTTAATTTGTATTATACAGTAATTCTTGCAGAACTACTGCAAACTTCTGACAATAAGTTTTACAGCATGCTAACTTTGTGCTTAATTTGTAGCTAACTGTAACACTTGAGTGCTACAGTCATTTATGTTTGTGGCTAAATGTGTTGCTTAAAACCACATAATTGAAATTGCATTTTTTAATCATATGATTAATCTGGCCTAAATCTGACATTTTGACAGGATTTTTTGCAATTAGATGGCTTGTGATACATTTCTAGCTAGTTGTATCACAGGAAGTGCTATCACTGTCTATGTTTACAACTAATGCGTATTACTGAAAATGACTACAAAGTAACAAAGTAAATAGTTACGTGATAGCTGTAAATGTTATTTACAGGACTATAGAGCTGTGCAGAAATCCTCTCTGAACTTGACTAAATGCAAGAAATTACTTGTTTTTCCAAACTCACATTAATCTAAAAGAAACCTACAAATGGTGAAAGATGCATATCCTCTTCATAGAAACCTCCAAAAGATTTATGTTATCTAAATTAGTCAAAAACTAATTTCCTGTCTCATTGGCCTTTTGGGTGGGTTAGTGTAAAAAACATTTTGTCTCTTCAGTTTTAGGGAATTAGATTTTTTTATGAGTGCTGAGATGTTATCATGCTTGATAATCAGCTCCAAGTCCTTCTACACTTTTGCTCATTTCAGCAGACTCAGTCTGCATTTAGCCTAATTCGACCAGCCATTAAGCTAATTACATCCTCCGCCTGAGTCAGCTGTTGGCAGTTTGAGATGCCTCCAGCAGGTGGAGGCATGTGCTCAAGCTGCAAATAGATCAAAGAGCATGTCAGGCCACTTTTTGACCTTGGGAACAGACTGTAAGGATTCATGCATCCTGTACTCAAACACTTCAGATGAGATCAAAAGTGGGCTGTGAGAGGACGACAGTGAAGCTGAAGCAGGTAGGCAGGGAGAAGAAAGCCTCAGCGAGGGAAAGGGAAGAGCTGAGTGTTTGAGGATCTGGTTTAGTATTGATTAGACATCAGCGGTGGGGTGATAAAAGCCTTCTGCTGTGACCCTGACCTGTTTTCTCTTTGTAAAACAAATGTGTCAGACTTCTCCTGGAACAACAAATTGACTGCACATAAATACCACACTAACACCTCTCTTATTTGGGGTTTCTAATAAGTTTGATGCAGTTGTCTTACATGTTCTTTACTTAGCATTAAAGGCCTATTTAGCTGTTTTTGGCCTCATAATTAGATATGGAACCAGAATTAGAAAAAATGAAATAATTATAAACTTTATATGGTATGTCCTTTTTGATACATACCAAACAAAACCAGCATACACTTTGTAAATGAGCTACAGTGAGGAACATAAGTATTTGAGCGCCCTGTGATTTCGCAAGTTTTCCCTCTTCGAAATAATTGAGAGGTCTGAATTTCACATTGTAAGTGCTAAACAAACGTATTTTAAAAAATCAGGACTTCATATTGTATTATTTTCAAAGAACCAGTAGAAATCGGTAGAACCCTACGCTGTCATGGTTTCAAATCATGCATTGCATGGAAGGTTCCCCGCTCAAGTCATCACATGTCCAGGTCACTCTGAAGTTTGCCAATGACCATCTGGATGGTCATTCACTGTTGCAAAATAAAACTTTTGGTCTAAACTCCACTCGCCATATTTGGTGGAAAAAGAAAGATAAGTTGCATCTCAAGAACACCATCCCCACAATGAAGCATGGGGGTAGAAACATCATGCTTTGGGAGTGTTTTTCTGCCAAGAGGACAGGGTGACTGCACTGAGTGGGGCCATGCAGCAACACAGCACACAGCCAGGATAACCAAAGAGTGACCCTGTAAGAAGCACATCGAGGTTCTGGAGTGACCCAGTCAGTCCCCAGACCTACATCCAATAGAAAATCCTTGGAGGGAGCTGAAACTCCGAGTTGCTCAGCGACAGCCCCGAAACCTCACAGACCTAGAGGAGATTTGTGGGTCAAAATCCCTGTTGCAGTTTGTGCAAACCTGGCCACGAACTACAGGAAACCTTTGACCTCACAAACAAAGGCTTCTGTACCAAATAACACAGATTTTCTCAGATGTTCAAATAGTTATTTCCAGGGGTATGACACAAACAAATTATTTGAAAGTCACACAATGTGATTTCCTGAAATTTGTCACAAACTGTCTCAGTAGGATGCACCTTTGTGAATTTCAGACCCCTCATCATTTCTCAGTGTTTCTCTTGTTTGTTTAATTGTCCTTTTTGGCTCTTTATCACTTCCAGTTTAATGAGGGAAAGACAGAGGTGGTGGTCTTTAGCGGCTTTGTTGACCCTCCCACTGTGGATCTTGGTTCTTTGGTCCAGAGCACTGAAGAGCTTTCCACGAACCTGGGGGTTAAAGTGGATACAAGCCTTACATTTGAAACCCAGATTAAGTCAGTGGTTAAGTTCCGTTTTTTTGCCCAGCTGCAGCTTGTGGTAGAAGTCAAATCTACCCTGTCAATGCAGCAGCTTGAAACCTTGATACATGCTTTTATCACAGTACGTCTCAACTACTGTAATTTACTGTGTGTAGCTGTCTGTAACCTTCTCTATTGCCCTCCTCCAGTGAATTCAAAATGCCGCAGCTCGCCTTATAACAGGCGCACAAAAATATGATCGTATCACCCATCCTTAAGCTTCACTCCAGTGGTATTTGGTAGGGGTGGGTGATATAGCCTAAAATCTATATTGCGATATAATTAGAAAAATGTGCGGTAACGGTATATATTGCGATATATGACTTTCTTTTGTATATGTGTCAAAAACGACTGTTTATAAACATTCTCACATACCAGATACATTGCAGCAGCAGAATAAACACACTTCAAACAGTATAAAATGCCTGCTTTACTTGCTCACGGACTTTCTCGTACAGTTTTGGCATCTCTGTTTGGCTGAAGTGTTTGCAGCTCGGTACCTCATAACGTGGATCGAGTGTCTTAATCATGTCCCGAAAGCTGCTTTTCTCCACTGTAAGAAACAGCACCATGTCCTTACACAGGTACGTGGTAATGGCATTTGTAATATCAATCCACCGTTGATTATTTCTCTCATACTGAGTGCCTTTAGCAAATGCTTGTAAAATTCCGTCTGCTGGTGTGTAAGACCACCTTTTTTCTTACCGCTCGACTGACTGGGCGTTTGTTGAGGACACAGTTTTTGGCTTTCTTCGTATTCCACAACTTGCTTCGTTTTGAGGTGGTAAAACAAATTAGATGTGTTCCCTCTATTCGCTAATGCTTTCTTCTGGCATACTTTGCAGATTATATTGTTCTGCTCCACATCTGACTCCTTATATACAAACCAAGTCCAAATGACCGATGTTGCACCGGTCTTCTTTACGAGAACCTCCTCCTCCTCCACCACAGGCTCCATGCTTTCAGCCTCAACAGACGCCGCTTGATGACGTCATCAACATGCGCTACTGCGATAGGCTGATATAGTCAAAATCTCTACCACTGGCCAAATTAATATCATTTCTACTGTATACAGTTTATACCGCCCACCCCTAGTATCCGGTACATTTTAGAATTTATTTTAAGGTCCTTTTACTTGCTATTAGATTCATTGGCCTTGTGCCACCATACCTCTCTGATTTGTTACAGCCCTACACTGTAGGTTTGCAATGGCAGCTCCTAAAATGTGGAATGACCTGCCTTTAAAACTTAGACAGTCCACCTCTGTGATGGCTTTTAAATATGCACCTTTAAAGAGCAAGTCACCCCCAAATCAACATTTTTTTTCCTGATAAACTATATAAATACGTGTCTAATCGTGATGCAAACACGCGTAGTTGATAGTTTTGCACTTTAGTGCATTTTAGTAAAAATTTAAATTTTCTGCCCAAAACTGTCAGTGTTGTGCTGTTGTCAGGTAAAAACTCTGCACTGTATTTGAATTTAAATCTACCATCGCTGTTGGCTAAGAGGTACCCTAGAATGTTAGCTGGTACCATAAGATGTCACAATGTCGTTGTGAGCCTGTGTGTGTGTGTGTGTGTGTGTGTGTGTGTGTGTGTGTGTGTGTGTGTGTGTGTGTGTGTGTGAGAGTGTGTGTGTGTGTGTGTGTTTGTGTGTGTGTGTGTGTGTGTGTGTGTGTGTGTGTGTGTGTGTGTATTTGTTAGCGGCTCCGCCCTCTCAGTCTGCTAGGCAACAGTATTTGTTGCATTTTTCAAACAGGAAGTGGGAGTGGATTGCTACTCTGGTAGGGGTAACTTGCTCTTTAATACCTCATCTTAATATCGTATGCATTCTTATTTACTTGTTTATTGTTTAATGAGGTATAAATTGCAGTTGTTTTTAGTTTGATTACCTCTCTGTTGCATTTTGGTCCTTTGTGGTTTCTTAAAGTGCATTATAAATAAAGTTGCATTCAATGGGATTTTTGCCTTACATTCTACTTTATTGGTTCAAGCTTCACAAATACATGGTCAGGTTAAAGAAACAAGTCTTACATGACTCTAATAGTAATTTTAAGAGTCGTGATTGTTGTCTCCAGAGACTATAGGTCATAAACAGTAATTGATGTCACACCCTGGATGCTAGAAGGCCCAAGTAAACCTTAAAATAGACTATTTATGTGTTTAATGACCTGTCTGTGTCAATGTTGTGCCAATAAATAAAACCGTATCATTATTAAAACTATGCGTCTTATTCTAAATTGTCAAAATAATGAACAAAATTAAGTTGAAAAGAAAAAACAATTAGTTCTTTCTTCATTTCCAACCCGGCTG